AGCATTTTGCTTTTCTGTCTTAAACCTTACCTCGAAGGTATATTACGCAACGAATTAGAGCCACCTGGACATCCTTTGCAAGAGGTGAAGCGACTGAGTCGCGATGCGTGGTGACGCATGATCTGTGAAGATCACAAAAGGCTTTGAACAGAGCAGGTTGTCCCTGATCTTGACAATTGCATTCCTGGTCAAAAGTAATCCTTCGTCGTGGACTGGGAGTTCTTCTCCGCAGCCTTAATATGGCGAGATTCGAACGCGATCACCCGATCTTGCCCCTCGGCGTCTGCTTGCAGCAGTGCACAGAGGGACAAAGCACCGTCGGGTGGATAAACGCTGCTTGGCAGCTCTAAGCTCTCTCTCCCCTTTATCAGCATAGCTAAGATTCGTTGGCTCAGGCCCGCTCGACGACCTGTTAGATTGTGCATCCCAACCAAGTCGTGTCGACTCAAGGTGGAATTCGGCATTCAAAGCCACATTCTCCGCTTGGTAAAAAAACTCGAATGCATACAGAAAACTCCCATTCAGGCCATGCCGGTGTGGAGACCTTCCATAAATACGGTCACTATGAACGCTTTTGGGGAAGGATCAGCTATCCCGGCAATAAGAGGTCCCAACGCTTGGACAAAGTCCAATTAATTTCTTGTTGCCCTGTCGGGTCGCAAGGAAACGTGATCACACGCAATACGCCTGGTTAGGCGGCGAGTATACTCGCAAAATTTATAGCTTCAGCCCCTCCCAGAAGGGAAACGCCGCTTCAACCGAAGTACCGCACGTTAGTGCCCATTCTTGCACTCGGCCCCCGAGCTTGGAGACAGCTAGCGCCGAGCGCTGTTGCTCGTTCTGGATCATGGCGGATGCCATAGCCATCTCGGCCACTTTCACCCAGAGCAAGAGATTCTCTCTATCCTTACCCTCGAAAATCTCAATGCTTCCCATGAGCGGCCGGGTCAGGAGGACTAGTCCGTCGTCGACGGTGGCGTCGTGGACGCTGTCGACGCTGACAGCTTCTACTGTTGATGCTCTAACAGAGCATTTTTAGCCCTTGCGAAGCAAGGGGTTGCACGCCCTCAGGACCAAGTAGGGATATTAGCTTATTATGACCATCCTGCATGACTGGGGCAGAGAGGAGTATTGCTGCATTCTCACAAAGGATCAGTCGAAACGACTCCGGCTTCGATTGACTTCCAGTGCTACCAAGTGTAGTGGGGCTACCGTAGTTCTTTGCTGAGAAGTAGGTTACTAATGCCATCGACCTTACGTTCTGTAGTAGAACCAGTAGAGAATAGGGAATCGCTACCTCAAATCTTTAATCAAGACAAATACACTCTTATAACTACCTCCACGTGTACTCAAAACCTTAACCAAGGTAATCATACTCTTCCGTTCAAAAGTGAAACTGTATTTATTTGTTTGATTCAACAGCTAATAGAAGTTTGTCTATTTTTCAGCGTCATCGCTTCTGGCGCGCACGTAGAACTTTCGTTCCAGCACACAATTCTGCGCTCATGGGACAGAAAATGTGCTTCGCATTATATGCGACGCCAAGCACTTCCACGGGTGGACTTGAAGCTCTCGATGCAAGCCGCACCCGTCCGCAGATCCTCCATGAGATGCAGCTAATAATACCTTCTTCGAGAGAGGGTCAAACGCGGTTGTGGCAATTATATTTTCCAAGTTCGGCAATTTTTGCGTCCCTTCATGGGTAGACAAGATGTATCAGCCCACTCTATTTGCTTACTAGGCGGCTCAAACACCCGCGGCATATGTCGCTCTAAATATATCTACACCGGGAACGCATCTCTTATTAAATTTACACGTAAGTTCCCATTCTCGTACGCAACCTCCAAACCTGGAGATCACAACGTGATGCACTTTTGCTTCTATTGGAGGAGGCTAAATTCGTTACCATCTTAACTTCTTTCATCGTCCCGGTGCTTCAAGCCAGAATGTTCAGCATTAGAGGGGACCATGTGTTCTTTCACCGGCGCCCGGTATTGCGCTCCCTTTCGTGCCTCACTAACGCATTCTGAAAGCTGACTAGCGCCTTCAAGCAAATGATTACACTTTTGCCGCCGATGCCCCAATCGTATCATGTTTTGACGCAGACAAAATTTCGTTAACCTGGTGGGAAAAGCTTTCAAACATTTCATGTGCCAATCTCGCAGAGGATTCTGCCCAATCACAACTCAATCACGGGCTTGACTACATGTGCTACCAAGTACAACGAGGCCGCCGTCTGAAAAATCTTAAACATGTTAATAAACACTGAGAGGATGGATTGATTTTGTGCGTTCCATTGAAACGTGGAAACAAGAGC